TCTGGTGGTATCCGCTTCCTCGCTAAAGGACTTAAGCGAAGTCTGTCCAAGCAAAGGGGAAGGGGGCTTAGTGATTGCAGAGACAGTAAGTCGGCCGTCTTTTCGTCTTTTCTCTTCTTTTAGCATCGCTTTATCTCTTCTAGCTATATCGGCTTGGTAGTGAGGTACTGGACGCTTTGGAGTGATCGCTGATGGCGGTATAATCTTGTCGTTCTGTAGCCAGGGTGTTGTAGTGTCATAGCTAGGGGGCCAAATCAAAGCTCTGGCTTTACAATCTACTGCAATCGCGAAGTAATCAAGCCATTTACGTCCGAGGATAACTTGATGAGAACCTAGGGGGGTGATCATAAATGGAAGATTTAACTGTCGTCGTCCGTCAATCGTAAGGTGTAGGCGTAGGACGTGGGAGATTTTCGCCCCACTTCTTCCATCATATCCTAGGACAGGAATAGGGTGTGGCAGTGGCTGGGCTTTAATTCCTAGGAACTTGGCCCAGTCTACTGCAGTGGTTTGGTCAATAAAAGCAAAACCATTTGCTCCAGAGTCAATAAGTGTTTGCAAAGAAAGTTCGTATCCATTCATCGATAAATTACACAACACAGTCATATGCTTTCCACCCATTAAATGCTGTAGATCTAGCTTAGCCAGATCCACTAGTTCGCCCAAGAAGGAGTCTTCTCTTAGGCGCTTCCATTTCCCGACAGCTCGGAACCGTCTGCACGTTGTGCTTCTTCAATCTCGCTCTCGTCTTCCTGTTCCAAGATCTCATTCAAGTCGGCGTCGCGTCTAGGGTGAGGGCATTCAGGACGGGTGTGCCCAGGCTTGCCACAGTTGTAACAGGTGATAGGCGGGGCGGTAGTTGCACGGCGATCAGTGGATTGTTTTAAGGGCAAGGGGGTTTGTGAAAGTGGGGCTACGCTAGCCCGTTGAGTGATGTGAGATCCGCGATATCAGACTCTGTCCAATGCTTAACCATTTTGTTTGTTAAGAAAAAACGCGCTCTGAATAAGTTTGTGGAGTGCCAAGAAAAGAAATCCATTTCGCTTGGGAATCCAACTCGCTTGTGGACTACGTTATCCTACTATTCTAACCTTTACATTAATTTAGACAGTAAAGGAGGGGAAAGTCTCTCTTACTAAGTAGTATGACTCGAAAATAATAGGGCACCTATTACTACTATATAAAAAAAAGGACAGAAGCGTAGAAAGAGGGTAAGTAATATAAGGGGTAGAGACAAGGGGAGTATAAAAGAGGAGGGTACGGAGGAGATAGAGGGGGGGTAGAAGAGCCTTTATTTATAACGGATAATAAGTTAGAAATAGCTAGAGAGATAAGAGTACTACTATAGTAAAAATAACAAAAAACTACTAAAAAGATAGGTAAAAATACTAAAAAAAAAAGGGACAAAGAGGAGTAAGAGTTAGTACTAGGCGTCTACTAAAGGCGAAATAATCGCTTAGAATAGCTTTACTTTTTACTTACTTGTTACATAGAGATTATACTTTAATTACTTCTTTTAGGTTACTTTATTTACTTTCTTAGACGAGGGGTATACTTTAATTAAAAACCAACTTTATTTATTAATAAAAGTAACAAATAATTCGCATCCTAGAAGTAATCAAATAATACCGTCTAATCTGCTATACGTACTAATTAACGAATCACTAGTAGCGTTGATCAATTCGTCGACTTGAGGGTTACAATAGCACAGATGCCGTTGGACGTATCATTGTGCTTTCGCAACATGGACACCCATGCTGTGTCTTATAATGATGGAGTGATTGAATTGACAGCGAACAAACTTCCCTGCTATTGACAGATATTGCGAACGAGATTTTGTGCTTTACGATGAAGTTCGTTCATTTTCTCAAATGCTGGTGATTTTGAAGACTCGTCGATTGGCAGTTGGGAGACTAAGTTGGCTTTATGTTTAGTAATATTTACTCCGAATATGCTTCGCCACATTTGTGTGTTCTTCTATTGTACCAAACGATCAGTTACACATAAACATAAAACAGTTTTCGTCAAAAGCCAAAGTTGAAGGGACTATAGATACCACATAGCAAGCGTGACACCCCATTGCCTTGTTTCATGCATAGATGCGCTTTTATCGTCGCAGCTTTTGTTAGATACATCTGGCTTGGGTTGCTTGATTTTAAGGAAAAATGGCTTGTGTACATATTAGATGAACAAGCCACATATGCTGTATTAGAAAATGAGAGGTTTGGGAAATTTGAGCTCTAGGTGACAAGCGGCAATCGCTTCATTCTACTGAACGCTTGAACTTTATCACGCCACAACACTTAAATATTTGGCATTTCATTGCTTTGACATCAGATAAAAATAATAAAATTTGATGCTTGAAATAATCAGATATCCCCTAATAGTATTGGTAACACTCGTACATACACCAAACCTCGGTGGGGTTTTTGTTTCCCGTGGTAAGCCGAGGTGCGTGCGTCTTCAGGGATTCAAGAGTTCAATACAGTAGAAATTATCGATTCCCCTGTACTATTGACCATATTTCTAATGTTTCATTCTAAGCTCCAGCCTCGGCACTCAATCCCCCTATGAAATCGGATTACAGAGTTTTTGGTGAGCCTTTCTGCAGAGCATTTTGGACGGATGCAGAATCGATGCCCAAACGAGAAGGTGGGGTGAATAAATAGGCAACAGGTATTTGTCCTCATGAAAAGGGGATTTCCTCTTTTCATTTGAGCCTATGAAACTCTCGAAGTCTCTGAACACGTTTCAACGAAGCAGTCTCTCCTCCATTTCTCCCAAACTATCTTTGGCTGAAAAAGGGCTGCCCCACTCATACGTTGAACATGTCACCCCTCACACCACAGGAAGCCCACTTTGAGCCACGTCTTTCGGCAACATGAATTCTCGAACTACGAGCCGGGAAAATTAGAAAGAACTTGTTTTCTATCGAAGGTTTTGAATCCGCTATTTTTAAAGATCAAGTTCCCACGGAACCGATATATCTGGGCACCCTCGGTCTCCAGGGTGACAGCCATGCGTACTCTGATTCCGGCGGTCCGGATAAAGCGCTGTTGCACTATGCCACAAGCCATTATGAAGCCTGGAAAAACGAGATGCCAATTTCTGCTATCGTAGAACATGGTGGATTTGGAGAAAATATCCTGACGGGCCCAAATGATGGGTATACCGAGCATACGATTTGCGTCGGCGACATTTTCTGCATTGGAAATAACGGTGTCAAAATTCAGGTCACACAATCTCGACAGCCATGTTACAAGCTGAATCATAGATTTGGTGTCGAAGATATGGCAACAAGATCTCAGAAAAGCAGACGGACTGGCTGGCATAATCGGGTTCTTGTCGCTGGGTACATCCAACCAGGTGATGAGATGAGCTTGGTTGAACGGAAGAATCCCGAATGGCCGCTTAGTCGTGTTCAACATTATCTGTACGACGATACACGCAACTTCAAAGTGATGACGGAGTTGGTAAAAATAACAGAACTGGGAGAAGAATCCAAGGCAATATTTCGTGCGCGGGTCGAAAACCACAAAGAAACGCTCGAGAGCATGCGCCTTCGGAAACTCGATTTAGCAACCTCGGGATGGGCTCAATATGAATTGGTAGAGAAAAGGAAGGAAACGGAGTTGATTTCATCCTTCGTATTTGAAAGACTTGAAAAGCAAAAACATCCAAAGAGAGCCATTCCTGGAGCACATATTCGAGTCCGGACTGGAGAATCAAGAAATCTCCTCAGAGCCTACTCTGTTGTCGAAGGTGACAGTAACAGCTTTACCATCGGCGTTTCTGAGGAGCCGAACTCAAAGGGAGGATCAAAGTATCTACACGAAGACCTCAAGTTACATGATATGGTATTGTTTAGCGACATTGGTAGTAACTTCCCTCTTGTGAATGGTCCTGTCTGTGAAAACCACATTTTCGTCGCTGGTGGCATTGGAATCACAGAATTTTTAGCGAGCGCTCGCATTTTGAAACAAAGAGGTATTCCTTTTACTCTTCACTATGCCGTAAAGCGTGAACAAGATGTGGCATTCCGAGAAATCCTGGACGAGTTCTCAGATAACGTCAAGTTTTGTATCTCGTCAAATGGAACGAGACTCGATATTCCATCTCTATTCAAGAAATCCAACAACCAAACGCACATTTACACATGCGGTCCGGATAGACTTTTGGAGGCTGTCAAAACCACTCCGGCCAAGTTGGACTTCCCCTCGTCCAACATCCATTCCTCGACCTTTGTCACCACAAACTCAGGCGATCCTTTCACGGTTAGAATTGAAAGTCAGTGCAAAGAGTTTCAAATTCAAGAAGAAGAATCGGTACTCGATGTTCTTAGAAGTGCTGGATTCGAGGTTCCGAGCAGTTGTGAAGTTGGAAACTGTGGAACTTGTAAGGTTGGTGTAAAAGATGGAAGGATTGAACATAGGGGGACTGGATTATCTGATGGTGATAAGGAGAAGTTTATGCTGAGTTGTGTTAGTAGAGGAATCGGAGCTATATCCATAGACTTTTAATTTGAAGGCGGGGATTCTTGTTGCAGCATCAGACAAGAACCTCCAATAACGTTCTTCGTGTTCTTTTATTTCTAGTGATTTACAGATATTATATGGCTTGCAGCTTACACCTTTGACAAGTGGACAACGCATCCAATTTCCAAAAGCCAATTCCGGGAGGGCGACCAAACTTCAATCTTTGATAGCAGTAAAGATGCGACTCAATAAACTCTAATACTCATCTTGGAAAATTCGATTTTTGATGACTTCCAATTCACAAGTCCAATAGAGGCACTGGCATAGGTACTCTGCCTCAAATAGTCGAATAAAGCCTCAAAGGTCGAATTGCCAATCGGACCTGTTGGGTTCTCTATTTCAGGACGTATTGAACCGTCCACTGGACTTGTTCTGTTGTCTGTTCCGTCGAAACTTTGGAGCAAAGAGTTGACCTTATAAATGAAACGGACAATCTCGCTACATTCTATATTTTCCACTCTCCCATACATTTCATTACTTTCGATTGAGAACCTGAAAGTGTCACCCTGCCGTATAGCATGTTCATGCAAATGCTTAAGAAGGTTAAGTAGTTGCGGGTCGATCTCATACGGCAAGCGTAACCACTGAGCAATCTGACAAAGTATAGCGAGAGAGGCAACTATCCATACAGGCCAGTGTTGTTGAACTTTTAAGCGAGCGTGCGTCAAGTGCATTGCAATCGAATCATCTAGTTTCATCCCATGTTCTAGAAGGCCAACAGCGAAATTTCACTGTCCAGTCGCAATTGCCGCGGTAAGATTCACATCATCTACAGTCTGCTCGGTTCTTGGATTGAGAGCGAGCTCATATAAAACAAAACTGTGAAGTCCTCCATATGCAGCGAAGTGCAACCATGACCCTCTGCAATTAGGGTCATTCCAGAGTTCCCTTTCTTGACTCAAAAATCTTGCTATAAAGGGATGTTTCGACATAGCCGCCTTAGTAGCGTCTAACATAATGGAGAAATAAGCGGGGCTATCAAATCCATGTGATAAAAGTTGCCTCAAATAGATTCCTATGGAGTCCAAATCCGATCTCTGGGAAGCCATGCCAAATACAACCTCTGCGGCACAAATTCTACGATATATGCTGGTCACAGATTTCACACATAGTGTACTCTTTGTTCAAGGGGTGTATAGAACTAGGGTTCCACCCTAAACTCTTCCGTACTGCCATTGTGGCTATTATCCCGAAGCCTAATAAGAAGGACAAGTCGTCACCTCGAGCATACCGTCCAATCTCCCTACTCTCAGTCCTAGGAAAGGGGCTTGAAAGGCTTCTTGCAAAGAGAGTTTCCTGGATAGCTATTAAGCACGCTGTTCTAGGTCCTAATAAGAAGGACAAGTCGTCACCTCGAGCATACCGTCCAATCTCCCTACTCTCAGTCCTAGGAAAGGGGCTTGAAAGGCTTCTTGCAAAGAGAGTTTCCTGGATAGCTATTAAGCACGCTGTTCTAGGGCCAAACCAGTTCGGAGCCCTCCCTCTGAGAGCTGCCACAGACCTTACTACCTGTCTCACCTTTGACATAGAGAAGGCACTCGCAGACAAACAGGAGGCCTCCCTTCTTACACTTGATATCAAGGGTGCCTTTGACGCAGTACTTCCTGGCCGCCTTATTAAGAGGCTACGAGAGCAAGGATGGCCGCATAGCTTTGTAGCATGGGTTACTTCTTTCTTGACCGACAGATCTGTCAAAGTAAAGCTGGACGGGGAAATAGGAGTCTCTACTCCTCTTCAGTGCGGGCTGCCCCAGGGCTCTCCTATCTCGCCCATCCTTTTTATGCTCTACATCCAGCCACTCTTCTCCTTAGGGGTAGGCTCTTTCCCAGTGTTACAAAGGTTCGGCTACGCGGACGACATTGGATTACTTGCTTCTGGGCCTACAAAGGCAGGGAATGTTAAGGTCCTCGCAGAACAGGTGGCTAAGGCTTTAGAGTGGGGAACAGAGGAAGGCATTACCTTCGACGCGGAGAAGTCTGAACTTATCCACTTTTCTCGTAAGAGAAAGCAAAAAGGGAGAGGCATCTGCCTACCACCCTCTATTGTAGTGGGAAACAGGACAATAGAGCCAACTCAAGAGCTTCGATGGCTTGGTGTCTTCTTTGATCCCCGTCTTACTTTCTACAACCATGTTAAAAGGATGTCAAGTAAGGCTACGCTTGTAGCGATTGCCCTAAAAGGGACAACAAACACAGTAAGAGGCTCTCCCTCCCATCTGCTGAAACAGGCCACTACAGCTTGCATTCTATCAATCGCCTACTTTGGAAGCGAGACCTGGTTCCCTGGACGAGCCAGAGCCAAGGAAGGAGGGACTACAGACAACTGAATTGGCCGTCACCTGACTCTTTTAGACAAAGTAGTAGCTAAATGTGCGAGGATTATCCTCCCAGTATATAAGACTACCCCTACCTCGGTACTACTCATGGAATCTGGCCTCCTAGCCTCTGAAATTGCTCTTATAACAAGGAGCGAAGCACTAGAAGCTAGGATCCGACGGCTAGACCCTACCCACCCGCTTAAACGATGTGTAAATAACCCTAGCTCTAAAGCTAGGCTTATCTACCGCTCTTATAGAGCCCTGCCCCCTCTGAAGAGATCGACCCTATACAAGACCCGCCGTGGGACAGAGGTTTCAACCGACAATCCCGGCTTCTAGAGGTAGCAGGACCTGAGCCCAGTGGAGACAAGAGCTCCTTTAAGGCCAAATTCCTTGAGTTTTTAGCTACACTCCCACCTACCGACTTAGTAGTATTTACCGACGGCTCTCGCTTGGACGATAAAAGCACTGGTGGGGGCGTGTGCCTCACAAGAGGGGGGGTTGTTCTTAATACAAAGAGCTTCTCTTTCGGCAAAGCGTTAGAAATATATGATGCAGAAGCTAGAGCTGCTCTCCATGGCCTAGAGCTTGCCCTAGAATCCTCTTTCTGGCCTTCGGCAAGGAAGTGCTGGATCTGCCTTGACAACCTTGAAGCCACACTACAGCTGACCTACCGGTCCTGTGGCACCTCACAAGAGACATTTAACAGGGTCTACGAATTAGCTCAATCGTACCCTGGGAAAATACAGACAAGGTGGTGTCCTAGCCACATAGGTATCCTTGGCAATGAGATTGCGGATAAAGCTGCAGGAAAAGCAGCGCGGATACTTCTTCCTGGTCCCCCCTCTCTACTCTGTACAGCCACGCTTAAGAGAGAGGTAAAGGAGCTAGGGGGCACGCTTGCGAAGAAGCTCTGGAGCACTACACTTCCAGGTCTTTACAAGGATCTAGGGCTCTACAACTGGTCCTTGAAACCCCGGTCTCTCCAGCTGCCTAGAGAGGTCCTAGCCCGCTTAATAGCTGCTCGTTCTGGCCATGGAGACTTCACCGCCTACCACCTTCGTTTCTTTCACTATGATACACTTCTCACCTCGGGGGAGTGTAGGTGCAGGAAGGCTAAGTCTCAATTCCACCTACTCTTTTGCAAGCTAGCAAACAACAAAGCACCTAAGCTATTAGCTAAGGCTAAGAGAAATCCTCAACTGCTCTTCGGATCCCACTGCGAAGAGCTCTTTAGCAAGGTTTACTTCAATACTGAATTCTACACTAAGATCTGCCTCTCTAGATAGACAGGCCTTCTTTTATTTCCTTTTTCTTTATATATCTCCTTTGTTTTACCCTGGTTCTTAAACTAATTAAGGATAAGAGCTGTTCCGAAAGTGGAGCTTCTCTTTAAACTGCCTCATGTAAATTAGCTCTTTCGTTTACACCCCCCTGTAGCCTAGGGCACCCCCCTAGCGTCATTTGCCCTATTTTGGGACTCTTCTAGGACCTAGCCCACGCGAGCTAGACTCCGCTTGACGTTAAATAGCAATAAATAAATAAATATGCTGGTCTTTTCGAATCCAGGCCATGAGGATCTCAAATCAATATACGAATTTTCATTGCAGAGAAAGAAATCTCGTGCAGTGCGATGAAGAAATTGTACACTCGGCCCATAGAAAGGTTTGCGCAAAACTCGTTTGCGGGCACTATTGGCATCGGCGTCGTAGTGATAAACGAGATCCAGAAACCCTCTCGTAAGAGTTTTTGTTTGCTTGGAAACTCGCACTATTCTCCTTTTCGTTTCGTCATCAGTATAAGCCTCACAACAAGCGTCCTGTGGGAAATTAGGGCCGTCCAAGCCATCGTTATTTGTGTCAAATCCGCCAACCCAGGAAAAGGAAATTGCCCCAAGTCCCAAGGAAACGGATTGTCGACTGCTAGAAGGAGCATTCGTTTTGCCTTTAAAATGCTGAGTTTGTTTTTCCCGTCCGGTTTTAGTAGCTTGGTATAATAATCCTCCATTTCGCATGGTATCTGGTCAATCGTCTCGAGCAATTCATACGCTGCCAAACCACTGCGAAGGGCCTCTAGAAGTTGATCAACAACAAGGTATGCCCATAGAAAGACTCCCTGAGCATTCTCAGTTATCTTCCTAATTACCTTCTCCCGAACAGAATCATCCAGTCTTTGGCCGTGCTTATCTGTCACGAATTTGTGCGAGCAGTACATGTGTATGTCTTCCATATTTAGATGGTGTAGCTCAATCTTCTGGGTGTACGGACATTCAAAAGACTCAGAGAACTCGGGATATGACCGCGAGCTTACACACAATTTTATATTGCGATTCGAAGTCCATTTTTTAAGATCCTGGGCTAGTTCTTCACGATCTAACAGACTGCCCTCATATTCGTCAAGTCCATCAATAAAGAAGCAGAACTTGTAGTCTGGCATTATCCTACTATTCAGAAAATTCTTGAATGCATCTTCGATGGCCTCCTCTCTGAATAGCAGTTGTGTTTCCACCATAGCGTCCCCTGGTGTATTGAGAGCTTTCCATTGCCGAGGAAATAATCGTTGCATCAACTGTGGATGAGAACTCAAAATTTGGAAGAGAAGAGTCCTACACATCCCCTGCCGCGATTTCTGGAACTCTGATCCCCCTGAAAGCCAAAAATAGAAGTCCGCAATGACCAGAGTCATCTTTCCTGACCAGGGGCTGAGCTCGAGTTGTAAATACTCATGTTGAGCAATATACTTCATCAACGTCGACTTCCCCAATCCAGCGTTTCCCATGATGTGGAAAACACCATGTCCTTTTCGTAACCAGTTTCTCATGTAATAACTGGCCGCCTCTTTCGATGTCTCAATCCATGGATTGGCGGCACTGGGAGAAATATACGAATCAAAGTCGCTGTCGCCATCGTCAAACTCGCTGTTTCTACTTTCATCCGAGTCATCAATGTAATCCTCTATATTGGAAGAAATTGGGTGTTCAAAAACCCATCTGCGAGTTGTGCTTGTAGCCAATGTGATTTTCGACCGTCGAGATTCCATCCCATTATACGCAAGCTGACGTAGAATTCGATGATGCGTAGGAATATCGGTAGCTAAAGAGTGAAAGTCGTTGATATTATCCTTAATCTGGTTGGATAAATCGCTGAAGCTCCCCACTAACCATTCATTCGACGTGATACTCGCATTCCTTTGTTCGATCGCTTTGGAAAGATCACTCCCAAGTTCATCAATCTTCCTCGTCAAGTTCTTCTCTAAATCAGGGTAGCTTTCCGAGAGAGAAGCTATGCTTTTCGCACGTTGAGATTGGCCCTCTCTGTACAAAGTTGTCAGACGTGTAAGGTCACAAGAGTGACAGTTCGAGTAACTTACCGGAGAGCCACTTGCAAATTCAGCATCAGCTCCGCCCGATTTTCCTGGAGTTTCCCTTTAAATTCATCCAACTTCTTCTTGTCCTTCAAATACGCCAATCTCCTCCTCGCACACTTCAGAATATCCTTCGTTCCTGGAGGCAGCTCCATTGATTTCAGCATGCCAAGCAAGGTTTTTGAGTCTTCTCGGCACTTCTCCGCTATCGCGAAGATTCGCCTTTCCGAAACGGTGTTCATACTGACATTTATCTCGAGACCCTTCACGATTGAATCAAGCTCCTGAAAGACGGTGTTCAAAGAATCGTTCTCTTTGATTCTACCATTTTGGTAAATTTCGACCGACCCCAAGACCAGCTTCCCGGTGAAATCTATACAAGTGATGATTGCTGTTGCGAGCGACAATACGGAGAGCGCATCCATTTTGGTTGTTTGGCAAGATAATCGTATCTGTTCTCGAGGGGATGGGGACAGGCGGGGTAGTGGTGAAGGCGGACACTGGATGTACTGTAGGGTTACATTACGGCTACATGGCCAACAAGCTCCGTCCATACTATCCGGATACCCATCTTGGGTATTTATTACAGTCTGATTAAGGCAGACCTGAAGATCCGCCTTTGACATATCATTATAAAAGCTTTACATACTGCCTAGCATGACTTAGAATCCCACAATTCAATTTTGTGTAGGTTGACAGTGATAAGAGTAGAAAACATAGTACCCAGGTACCGGTTTCTTGACAGCGAGCCAATTCACCCCAATGATTGCGTTTGGGAGGTCCATTGGGCACAGTTGGCGCTAGCCGAGACTCATTGGTTTCCAGGAGGCAGATCCCAAAGGTCCCAAATCTACAGTTATCTTGTTTAGTGCGGAGTTGCCAAGGGTTTTGGCGACCGTAATAAGTATGTTAAGATTAATAGGAATGCCGGAATACCATAAGTGACCTGGCGTAAGTTTGAAAACGCCTCAATTTATAAGAAATCCGGAAAACTATGTTGGCGCTTGTGTGGCAATTGCCGTCGTCCGTACGGCTGTTTGAACTCCATGCCTTTTTATATCTACCTCTGAGGAATAGAACAGATGATGTCGGTAAAAGATCAATTCTAGGTATTTTTTATTTCAGCCTAAAGTGCTCCACAGACAGGTTTATTTCCTTGCTAATGGTTCAGTGTGCTGGTATTTTGTCTCCGAGAGGACAGCTTCCACGAAGATAAGAACTGATCAAGTTTTCCTAACAAAAACGGTGCAGGTGATTAAGCGTATTGCAAAAATAATAAACCGTAAGTACCATTTGGCTAGCGAGAATTCAAATGGTTGGGAGTGGCCACTGCAAAACGTACAGTACAGTAACACAGAGTGCGGCCGGCCAGCGAGAAACTCGGCGTCGTATATAAATATTCCATGGTATTGAATCATTTGGTGAAACCAATTGGCTTTTTAGTAGTGTGAGCATGCTTCCACGTCAAAGTTAGCGCCCGCTTCAAGCTCCCTGACATTCCTGATGAGGAACTTGGTGCTGCGATAAGACATTCAGCTCAGAGAAACCACCAACCCCTCTACCTTCCATTTAGCCAGTATCAGCTGTGTCACAAATTTGTCGGACATCTGGCTGAAAATTAATCGTGAAGGATCACACGGAGGATGCAGTATCATTTCAATAGACGATTTGAGGTTTTCTTCCAAAGATGGGATTGACCCGTCTGACTGCGCCGTAGGGCTGTGCTAACTGAGCCAGAGTGGAGCAGCTGAAATAGAGAAAATGCTTATGTGGTGACGGAGGAGCGATCGCCCGGCATGTCACCACATGTCTGGCAGCCAAATACTCTAGTGATCGCTTACGAGTACAGTAGTTGATGACCATTGAGTGGTCGTAAATGCTGATTTTATGGTGATCCTTGATGGATTCTGGCTGCCAGACTTCAGGAAAAAGCAAGTAGCTGGCCGGAAAATTTTGATAGGATTTGGGAACAAACCCAGGACTAGGAAATTATTTGCGATATGTGAATAACAGCAGCTAGATCTCAAGCGAAAGTATGTGATGATAAGCGAAATCTTGCGTGTTATTCACGATTTTCTAGGCATTCTTGAGTGAATGATGAACTACAAGAGTTAGATACATTCTTGAATGCCGCTTTTCACTTCTCGTAAGGGCTGAGGTGTGACTGGTTACCAGCCTCCGGATGAGGTCCTCCCTGGGCGAATGCTTGTTCCAAGGAAATCTGGGGATGACGGAGGGTGGCACAGCTCTTGGCATGGCAAACAAATTAAATACTCATACTCATACAGGAGCATCGCTTCTAAGTTTCTTTGTTTGATTTAATGGTTCTTGAAAATAAACCAGTTATCTGTGAATAATTTCATTCCAACCTGACTCCTCATCCACTTCACAAATTAAGAAGTTCACACGTTTACAAAAAACGCTCTCCCTTACAGCATTCCCTCCTATTGAAAAGGTAGCTTTGGAACCCTTCCATCGTCACCAACAAACACCCAAATCTCTGCCACAATGTCTGCCGTTGACAGACTCTTGACAATACTTCTCTGGGCCATTGCCTTTGGACTCAGTGAAGGCGCAACCAAGAAAAAGAAGAAGAAGAAGATCAGTACTAGCGCAATTGTCGCAATAATAATAGTTATCATCGTCGTCATGTAAGTTTTATTTCCATATTATCCCAAAGTACACCACTCTCTGGAGATGTCAACGTCCAGCTCCGAGGACAAATTCTGACTTCATCACAGCATAATCGGCTGTCTCATCCTCTTCCTTCTTCGGCGCCGAAAGGCCAAGAATAGTAAAATCGCGAATGTCAGCCAGGCACCTTTAGGAGCGCCTTCTGCAGGTGGAGAAGGATATCAAATGGGTCCAGGTGCCCAAGCGCAAGGAACATATGAGCCAGTTCAGCAATACGAGCAGCAAACGCCTTATGGACAGCAACCATATGGAGCACCACCCCAACAACAAGGGTATGGACAAGGTCCTCCAGCTTCCTACCCAGGTGTGCCACCACCTGCACATGGAGCTGCGAATGACTATTACAAGCCGTGATCTTGTTGAGATTTGGATGGTGCTGGGGACGATAATCATATGGTCTGCGATTACAAGATGATTTCTTGGGAGCCTTGTTATGTTAATGAAGGGTGATAAGTCGAATTTTGATGGAGGCGTTCGAGGTACATCTAATTCTGGGTGGTAGAAATGGATACAAATACCACTTGGTTTTGGATTTCGGTTGGATTTCGGTCAGAGCAGTACACGATACCATTTTGCGAGAAAGACTTTCCATGAGATACATTTCTTCTTTCTTTCCGGACATTTCTATGGTCTTCCTCAGTTCCAACTGCTTTCGTGTTTCTGTGTTGTCTATATAATAAGGTTTAACCCCACTACAATTGTACATACACGCGCCCGGAAAATTTCGTTTTGTGTTGTTAATGTCCTGACCTCTTGACGTGTATCTTTGATTCAAGGTAAAGTCCTACCCATGTTTTGGATAATCTTGTTTCCATGATATGGACAACACAGCAGCTTACGTAATGAAATATTAGTGTGCAGTATAGTATATATGTTGCTGTATTTCTTGCAACAACTCAGCGAAAGTGCTTTTGAAATTGGCTGGTTTCCACATATCATATGCAACCCCGGTTGGCTCTTTCCCCGCCCCTTGGCATATGAATCCTAGTACTGTAAGACCGACCATAAGATGGTCAGCGAAGAAACCAGCACTCCATATCAAAACATGTTCTGCGTCCACTGCAAGGTCATAGACCTGTCTCGAAAATCATTCGAAGAGAGCACGAACAGTACAGGAATCGGAATCCAGCACCTTTTTCTCGGACGTCACTCGACCATCCAAGCTCGAGCAGAAACTGGGTGTCCAACTTGCAAATCGATCCTCGCATGTTGTGACTTCAACACATCTATCGTAGTTGAGAATGTCAAAGACAGATGCGGATTGCGCGGCGACTACGGCGTCAGTATTCATATCGAAAATGTGCAGCCGCGTCTCTACGTCGTGCTCGGTGACCCACCTGGTCTCGAAGCGATAAATCAAGACCCTACTCAAAGGCGAGCCAACTTCATGCGCTATTGTGGCTTTCACATCTTTTCGACTACAAATATCAAGGAATCAGAGGATCGAGGAAGGCTTTTTGATCCTGGCTTTGTTGATAAGGAGTTGATCAAATCGTGGATGACGAGGTGCGACTGTTCTCATGGATTAGAATGTCGAGGCGACGATGTCATGTTGCAGAATTTGATAAGCTATCCTCGCCCCTCGCTTAGCTTTATTGACGTCGAGACTCAATGTATTGTTATTCCCAACATAGAGGTCCAGTATGTTGCTCTTAGTTATGTGTGGGGTCAAGTCCCTAGCATAATGGCCCTGAAAGAGAATATTGCCCAGCTGAGGGAGCCAGGAAGTCTCTCGTTGCGATCGCGGAACATTGTTCCCCAAACGATTAGAGATTCCATGACGCTATGCTCGCTTATCAATCAACGATACCTTTGGGTTGATCGACTCTGTATCGTACAAGATGATCTAGAGAATAAAATGGCTAGTATAGATGCCATGGCCTGGATTTATGCCCAAGCTACACTGACTATTGTCGCCGCACAAGGGACTGATGCAGACTTTGGGCTTCCCGGAATTGGTGGAAAGCATATTGAAGCGCGAGAAAAACACATACTTCCCTTTTTCTCAGGTCCGATGCTGAAAGGGTCTCTGTGGTTACACAGAACAGACCAATTAGAGAGAACGCCATGGGTATGTATTCTTCTAAGTTGATCCTTCCGCTCTCATGTTCAGGTGGTTGAGACTGTATTTACTCCCGAGGCAAGGTTTCTTCCTCCACGATCTCTGCTAATTACCCCGTTTTGAAAGTGGGTAATGTAATACTAACTCCATCTTCAACAGTCAAAAAGAGGCTGGACGTTGCAGGAAAATCTTTTCTCAAGGCGGCTGTTGATAATGGACGATATAATAACATGGAGATGTCGCTCAGCAACCTGGATAGAAGGACTAGAATGCTTCGATGAGCGACAGCAGATCGAGCGAGTCCCGTTACTTTCCACGGTCGAACCCAAAAAAGGCCATCGAGAAACCAAACTGTCGGTGCCAAGCTGGCCTTCGCTTCTCGATTTCGGCACTATAGTTCAGGCTTTCAATACTCGGACACTGACGTTCGATTCTGATACACTCAACGCTTTTGCTGGAACCATGAAAGCAATGACTCCGTCTTTTCCTTCAGGGTTCTATGCTGGACTTCCAGAATTTTACTTTGATATTGCTCTACTCTGGCAGGCACACCGGGGTCTTCGTTCTCGTTTCACAACTCAGGTTGGGAAAGAAGGCAATCAGTTTCCGAGTTGGTCCTGGGCTGGGTGGATGGGAAGTCTGAGACTCGATACCTGGTATTCTTGCTTCGACGCGGAGGTAAAGAGTGACAAATCTGTCATCAAGGTTTCAAATTTGGTAGAATGGTTCAAAGATTCATCTTACACAGAAAAGATCGATAACTCATACCACGTCTCAAGGGATAAATTCCAGAACGCATCACCCGACATGGCCTTACCACCTGGTTGGAAATATCATACAGAGGAAGAAACCAAGACAGTTTATTATACAAACCCATCTCTGTCGCAAACCAAAAGATTCAACTATCCAATCTACACAGAGAAACAACCTCCGTTATCACCAAAGGCCCCCAATCTAAGCTGCCAGTTCCTATATTTCAAAACTTCACGCGCATACTTCACCTTCCTCTCAGCTTCAAAAACAGACCCTCCTTCTCGACTCCGCGAAGTGAAGGATCCGAAATCGAGGGAAGTTAACTATGTCCAAGATCTCACAATCATCAATCCCAATACTTCGGAATGGGCCGGTCAAATCCGCATCACTCCTTCAGCGAAGGAATATCCCGAGCCACTGAGAAGATATGAGAACTGTGAGCTGATTGTGATTTCGAAAGGAGAGACATCGATTGTAGGGAAAGATATGGAGAGACATTCTTTCCAGGAAGTTTCGGATCAGAAGATAAGAGAGATTATCATGGGGAACAGGAAAGCGGAGAGTGTTGAGAAAGCAGAGGACAATTATACATTTTACTTTGTACTATGGATTGTAAGGGACGCGGATGGGATTGCTTATCGCAAAGGGTTAGGAAGGGTGTGGGAAAAGGCTTGGGAGGACGGAAATGAGGCTGTGGAAATTGAGGTTGTCTTGGGGTAGTGATTAACTCTGAACTCAATAGATGGATTTACCATGATTTGACATCAGTTCCGGATTGAACACTTCGCAGTATAGTGCTTGTAGATCGCCATTTTCCCGCCAATAAGCACTATCCCACATTCATGTTGATTTACATGAATACTACCCGATAAGTTTCGTCGTATCAATAAAATGGTTACGTTGGCGGTAATAAGCATGTAATCTTATTGTTACACTACATTCTTTTCACCCCTTCCAGATCCTCCGAACCCTTACTTGGATATCGACTCGGTATTACCGTTATAAAATTTAGCCTTAATTTCAATAACGGTAATTGACTAAACCACCCCTTAATTAATTAAAAATCACTAAAACACCCCTTAGATAATTGTCTACTAACTAAACCACCCTATAATTTATATCCTACTTTTTAAGGGGTAGTTTAGTAGCTAAAGTAGTAGATATTATAAATAAGGGGTATTTTTATCTACAAATACTAATTACATTAAAGTTGTAAGATTTTATTTCTTTATTAGTTATTATATAGGAATATACTAGGAAATTAATAAACAAAGTAAATTAATCTACTATTTATTACTGCCTACTTCGTAGTCTACTTCGGGTCGATTTTAGTAGAGGTTAAGTCTATGTAACGAATACTCAAACTGGCTAACTAAACTTGGCTGGGTGTTCGCTGATTGGTATGCTATGATAAGAAGAAGACTATCGGGTTGTTCACTTGGAAGTGAACTCGTTACTTGTATCAAAGATGTCAAACTAATATGATAAGATTGATAACTAAGTTGAGCACGAAGCTCCTATCTAATGGCAGACGTGCCAGTATTATATAGAACCTTCGTTCTCCCTAGGCCATCAACTCGCCTGTCGAGCTGGCGGTCCAGATAGCCAGATCGCTAGGCGACCTGGCGGTCCAGTCTTAGTCACGTGATTACATACAAGAGAAATCCCTGGATCGCTTAGCCACCCCAAACGATCCATGGGTGCTAGCCTACTAGCCTCTCAGGACAGCATCTGTTCTCTAGCGTCCCTAAAGCGGCTAGCAAAAACAGAGGCGACTAGAGCAACCGCTAAACTCTGGTATACTACAGCCCCGCAACACTACCTTGACCTAATGGTCCCGTACGAAAAGAACAAAGACCTACTCTCAATAAACCGCGGAGCACTTGGACGAATCCTTGCAGCCCGTTCCCAGCACGGAGAATTTGCAGACTACCATACACGGTTCCACCTCGAGGACGCTCTCTTAACCTGCTCTTGCGGAAGAAGAAAATCCCCGCTTCACTTCTACTTCTGCCTACTATTAAACTGTAAGAAGCTACACAAAGGACGCCCATCAATCGCAATCCCTTGGCTACTTGGAACTACCCAGGGCTCTATCAAACTAGCAAAGTGGTTTACAGACTCCAAGTTCTACCAAGAAGTGTGTATATCCCATACACAAAGCTCTCCTACCTTATAAGGGAGCCCTCAAAAGTCTACTAGTTTCCTTTTACTCTTCTCTTTACTATTCTCTCATTTACTTTATTCCATTATCAGAGGCGGAGGCAGCGGCGAACAGGGGCTAGGATCACAGGCTGGAGGATCATGCTGCAAAGAGGTGGCAGCACTACTGTTTTACTTCCTCAAGCGGACAAAACAACAGCTAAAGCGTACATGTAAACCCGCTACAGCCTTTAAACTCTTATATAATCTAGCTAGCTAGACAGGAAGCCAGGGGCCTCCCCCCCCTGGCGTCTTTTGCCCCAACGGGGACTGAAGGGCACGTGACTTGCGTACGTGCCCGCCCAGACGTTAAATAGACACACACACACACAATACCCCCCCCTTTGAAAAAAGCTTGCTCTCAAGCTTGTAGGCATCTCCGTATTATCATCTAATTCTTCGTACAAATCCATTCCATCCTCCCAAGCCTTTATCCATTCCGGCAATTGGCCTCCCCCCCCTGGCGTCTTTTGCCCCAACGGGGACTGAAGGGCACGTGACTTGCGTACGTGCCCGCCTAGACGTTAAGTAGACACACACACACACACACATAGCCTAAGCATCCCTATTTGCTATAAGAGTGTGTTGCTGGTGCTTAACCTGTCAGGACGCCGCCTGGTCTTTGCTTATCACATGCCAACACGTGATTCGTGACATTTAGCAATCTTGTTATTAAGTTATTACTTCTTTGTTAACAAGTGACGAGTTTGCCTCCGAGTAAACAACCCGGCGCATCTGTACTTCTTACCCGCATACCAACCGTCGAAACGATTACCTTTGTCAGATAGTTTGAGTTTCGTCACACAGTACCTTTAAAGTCTTAATACTATCTTATATATAAAGGTTAAGGATATATAATAAGTAGCTTATATTAATATCTATTATATTAAATTATAAGTAGTATTTCGCCTACCTTTCTAAAAAGAGTTTTTACTAGCGCTTCTTAACTTTATATAAGTACGCTATAAGAAGCGTATGATTAGGCGAGGTAGTATCTCGAGTAACTAAAATAATTAAGTATTAAATACTATATTCTAATATTATATCTATAAGAATTTATACTATATACTCTCTTAAGTAAACCGGGTCCTTTATCTTAATAATATCTAATATAGTAGTATAGTAGACGAAATTAGCTATAACCTAATATATAGTTATTACTATATATTCCTTATTATTAAGTAAGGTCTAGGCATTAGTTATAAAAGTAACTTATCTACTATTAGAAGTATATATTATAAACTTTATTTATAATGCTTTCTAGCCCGAGTAGAATTTATCTTTTATTAACTTAAGTAAAGTAAAGTTTATATAAATATTAACTTAACTCTTAGGTATAGGTATATAAAAACGTCCTTAGTAGACTATTATTTAATAAATTATAAGGCTAGATAATTTATAGTTATATAAGCTAAAAGAGTTCTATAAACTTAGATTTTTAACTAATAGCTACCTTTTCGCGCTTTAATTTAATTATAGATTAAGAATTAAATATAATTAGTTTTACTTTTAATCTCTTTATATTCTTAGCTAAAAGTAGTACGCTAGGGTAGTGTCACGAATCACGTGTTCACGTGATACTTGTCATAATAAGAGGCGCAACCCTCGACAGGCACATTCAGATTTCTTATAGCAAATGGGGATCGCTTAGGGTAGCTAGGCGATCCAAGGATTTCTTCCTTACAGAAGATCATGTGACTAGGGAGTATGAGGAAGTATAAGGGAGGCTTATACTACTCTATACTCGGACCATACGCGGGGTATGAAGGTTCTATATAAGACTGGCACGTCTGCCATTAGATAGGAGCTTCGTGCTCAACTTAGTTATCCAAGGATTTCTTCCTTACAGAAGATCATGTGACTAGGGAGTATGAGGAAGTATAAGGGAGGCTTATACTACTCTATACTCGGACCATACGCGGGGTATGAAGGTTCTATATAAGACTGGCACGTCTGCCATTAGATAGGAGCTTCGTGCTCAACTTAGTTATCAATCTTATCATATCAGTTTGACATCTTTGATACAAGTAACGAGTTCACTTCCAAGTGAACAATCCGATAGTCTTCTTCTTATCATAGCATACCAACCAGCGAACACCCAGCCAAGTTTAGTTAGCCAGTTTGAGTATTCGTTACAGGTAGTAGATTCGGTAGTAACTAGTATATATAGTACTACCCTTAATTTTGCGCTTTATACTTTTTATTATCTACTTTATATAGCTAAGAGTTATATAAGTTACTAGTATCTTTAGAGGCTTATTTAGAATAATTACTCTATAAAATAAAGGCTTAAATCCCTTAAAGAAATAGTTATTAGTCTTTTAAAGTAATAGGATAGGCTTCGAGACTTAGTATCGTAAGAAAGAAAGGTAAGGGCTTTATAGGCTCTTAGAGCTTTAGAGTAGACTATAATTTAGTAATAATTAACTTAATTATATAAGAGAGCTATTAGATAATATAGAGATTCTATACTCGCCTAAGAATATATATAGAGGTAATATTATAATAGGTTATTTATAATATTATTAATAGTATTATTAAGAATCTATAAACTTTAGTATTTATAAAACGTACGAACTAGTAAAATACAAGCTTCCTATTAGCCTATTAGAGTATAAGAACAATTTTCTAGGTTATATAATAAATTCTAGCTAGAAATTCTTGAAATTCTATAGAATATATACCTCTAGAATAGAATAATTTTAGCTAAATCCTAAAAGGAATAGAATTATTCTAGAGGGGGTGTCTGGAATGAAAAGGAATTCTAGATGCCGAGCGTTGGAAGGATGTAGAGATTCAAGTAAATGTATTTATATCCTTTGTTGTAACTTATAAGGTGTTTGCCGAATGAAATTTGTTACTATAGGAATCTTTCACAGAAATAACACAGAAAAGACCTCATTTATTGACTATATTGTCTATAGACATACCAAATATCAGAAGTTCTCTTGGTGACGGCTTCTCGACTTGCTTCAGCCTCTTTGGTAGTGGTAAACTGGAAAGTGGACGTGGCATCAAATCAACCACTTTACACAAACCTTCGAGTACAGTACGACAAGCGAATCGATTTCATTGCAAAGACTCTTGAGGCAATATCATACCCAAGGGTCTTGTGCCTTGATTAGCAGGTGTGAACCTGTGAATTTTATCTTTCTAGCTTGAAATAGTAAAGCAAAAACACCATTCAAAACAAATTTAAACAGAAGTCACAGCTGAAATTGCCAAATAATGAAATCTAAGGTAATGGTATAGATTCTAACGTCTCAAAATAATAAGCGATAGAAAAAGCAAAAAGAGTAGAACAAACCAAGAAAACCCGCCTCCTATCTTCTGTACTTCGATTATAAACCAACACAGGATCGGTCACTCAATATCGCAAGCCTTGATCTTGCTTATAATTACTGGAATATTATCGTCCGCTGTTCACATGGAAAAAAGTTCCGTAAATCCAAAGCTTTATTCAAACCGCGAGCGCACCAAGCCCTATGTGGGCCATATTTGAGAATGACAATTCCAGCTCGTTCTCTATTACCATTATCAACTTTTCTCAGAACCAAGCCATAGTAAGATTCCTCAGATTTACTGAAGATTAAGCATTCAAATTTGCCTTTCAGTAACCCCTCGTTGCGCTCTGGGGTTTCGGACTCCAGTAATGACATACTTATATGCCAACGCAGTGTAGTCGAAGTACCGTATCCATCGAGTTGTGATGTCGCAACAGCCCAGCAGGATTTGTCCCAGTAACCCACGTTTATTTCCATCACCCAAGCTTCAATTCGCAATACTGGCTTATAATCCCTGGACTCTATTGTCGGATCCGCTGCTATCCTGGCAATAATTCCTTCGCTAAGTCTCTCAGGGGTGCTATCGCGTCTCATAAACCAAAACTTTGTGGCAAATTCCTCATCACACGAACCTGGTCCCCAGTATATGTAATGTCCCGCAACCCCACGCCATCCTGCCCAGCTCCAGCTCGGAAAATTGTCTCTTCTCTGACCATCACTCATCAAACGCCACAAAAGGGCATATCCTAAAGATACGTCCCAGACGTCTCGCTTGCTAGGATTCCATGACGAATTCTTGAAACATGGATCGTTGAGGGGAACACCCCAAAAAGTATGAACAGGATTCGCTAATTGTGAGAAGGCCATCAACAACCCGCGCAGCCCGTTGATCGCATCGTTTTGATCGGTCAAATTTCCTCCTGAGTATAGTCTAATGTGATGCCAGAAATCCTTGGCTTTGAGGTTGTTGACCCCGTTACGAAATAACAACTCAGACTTGAACATAGAACGTCCGAAATGTATATTCTCTCGAGCCTGCCACATATTGCATTCAAAAAAGACTTGCTCGTCTGTGAATATTAAACGACGTGTAGAAAATAGTCCCTCTTGATACGTCCAAGCCCGTGTTCGCCAGGTAGAGGCTTTCACCAGTTTTCTGGGGCTTCGCCCACTCGAAGTCCAGGTCACACCATTCAACTCGAAAGTTTGGACCGCCGACCGTGGTCGATTTCCCACGCCTGGAAGCCCATGCGCCGAGTCGTGACCCGCTGCAGTAATGATTGTTAAATGAGCCGAACTGTAGATCTTATTCATGTGCAAAATTTGATGCTGCTTCTCGGAATCTTTCAGTTGGTCTATACAATACTTATCAATCCACAAGTAGTCAAGCTCGAGCTCGAGAACGACCCTGAGAGAATCTTCGAGAGTGTCCGGCATTTGAATTGGCAGCTTTCCACAGTGAGGCGTTGGTTCTGGAACCACATCTGAGTTGCCCCAAACATAACTTAGTGCAACATACCGGCAGTTGTTTTTTTTTGGTGTCTTGACTATCTCTCTGGTATTGCAATTAATGAGCATAAGATCTCTAATTTGCTTGCTATCCCCAATATGCCCTAGGCATGTTATTGGTGAATGAGATGAGTCACAATGTGAAACCCAGTTTCTCAAAACACTATAATCAATTGACTCTTGCCTTAGAGTTCTGAAATATGTTTGCTGGTGATTTCCAACGGTGTTTGCGGGGCATGTTGGAAATATGTAACAAGACTCCCACTGCGATGAGACTATCTCGAAGAAATTCGCATCCCTTTTGTCTGCTTCTGAGTGGCCAAGTTTCGCACCCTGTACCGAGATTGCGGGGCCATGGTCTATGGAGCAACTGCTAACAAAATGGCAGAGAGGACATTTCGGATACATCATTTCCTTGGATGAGAAATGTCTATCCTTCGAAGAATCCATATTGAAGGCTGCACATTCCTCACATAAATCCGCGGTCGTCCATGACTCTGTAGAATCGGACAAGACAGCGTGTTCCGGCATTGCAACAATGGGATCTCTCGATTCAAGCTCCATTATTAAAATGCACCGAATGGAGTAGCTCAGATCAGAGTGACTCTGGAGATCATTAGGCTGGTGATAAAATACAGCATATATGCGACATGTCTTTGAACTTTTGTGGATTAGCCTTGATAGGATTTTGCAAAATGGCTTCGATTACCACTTGCTTTGACTATCAAGCAAAAAAACCGTGTATGTCCACCAGATTTACTTTTCTGTGTACTCCTAAGGGGAGATCCTCCTAAAGGAGAGTAATGGTCAAATTTCCTTGCCGACGATGGACCTTGAACCTTCGAGCGGCTCAGATCCGGGTGAATTTGGAGTTGGTCAGGTTGGTGATAAGATACAACATGCGACGGGTCTTTGAAATCTTGTGGGTTAGCCTTGATAGGATTTTGCAAAATGGCTTTGATTAGCGCTTACTTTGACTGTCGAGTGCCCAAACCGTGTTAGTCGATAGGATTTGCTTTTCTGTGTATTCCTGAAGGAGAGTAATGGCCAGATCCCCTTCACAACGATGGACCACAACTCCGGGATTGAAGGGCCTTGTCGGAAAGGTATGTGTAGAAAGCTCGGATACGTGTATGTTTTGATGGTTGTATGCCCAGGCAAGATTGTCTCTATCGTCAGTCTCGTTGGGGTTTGGTAGATAAATACCCTCGCCTTGGGGAAGAAGTGTGTTGATGATGATGTTGATGTAGGCTTGCACAGCCTCTTCACAGCACCTCTGAAAGAGCCTCACAAACAGCCTGAACATTACGAAGAACGCGGCGAACGCCTATTGGCTTGCCTGGCAATTCCTCTTCACAGCACCTCTGAAAGAGCCTCACAGTCAGCCTAGACATCACGAAGAACGCGGCGAACGTCTATTGGCTTGCCTTGTAAGCAGCAGATCCCTACACTTCTCACCCCCTACGGGGGCGGAAGACATTTCCCTATTTTGGATTTTACCGCTAAGACTCGGTTTTAAAAGACACATTCTGTAATCTACAATTGTCGGGAGAATGCAGAAAACATACTAGTAGAATCTGGCTGAAGTTGTTTATTGGGATCGCGTGTACATGAGTTCTCACTTTTGGAACGATTTTTCAAAACATCTTTCATGTTTGGCAGGAGCTAGGCTCCAGAGCAGCTTAGCCAGGGGCATATGGTGCTTAGTAAGCATGGCATATATGCTAAATGGCTGGCAAGCAAACTCAAAGAAACCTCTAGAGCCTCGGACTGTCCTAGGATCTTACTAAGTGAGAGACTATAACGGACTGTACAGGTAAAAGACTAACTAAACAAGCAGTAGTAAATACAAAGAACCGTATAACTTTTATTAGGGACGGTAGGTAGGGAAAAAGAGAGTCCAAAAGTACGAAAGGCATAAGGAGTTGAATTAGGAGGTAGAGCCTCCTTATATACACTCCTTGTGTGGCGCTCAGACCCCTATCCATCTCCATATTTTTACTATACCCAAGCATTTCTTAGTTACAGTATATTGTTGTAAGTTGGTTGCAAAAAGGTGTAAAAATAAGCATCATTTTGGAGGAACAAATTACAAATTTTTTCCTTCTGCGTAGCCTTAGAGCTGACCCCAACGCCAGATTCTTCAACCTGTAAACAACCTTAACCTGTGAATAACCTCAACCTCTCTCCCCTCCATCCCCCCAAGCAGACTCATACAGAACCAGCGAATTGAATACAAGCAGTTGACTTGAGTGGCGGCCCCACTCAGCTTGTAGTTAAGTACTTAACGCCAAGTACTTCAGTATCTAAGTACTACAGTATTTAAGTAGTACGGAAGTAAGCCGGCCCGAGGCCCCCGTAGCGAGGGTGCTATGTCGGACTGACCACTTCAATTTAACCGACCACTCGGAGAACCCCCATTAGTAGGGCCCCCCTTGTTTATAAGTAATTACTTGTCTATAATTAATTATTGTATGATTTAGGTATAATATCTAATAAGCTCAAAAGACTGGGGCTTTATTATAGAAAAGAAAGCTATTTTTTTAAAAATAACCCTATTATTTTGTATCTAAATTTATAGTTGCGTTTTTATCTATAAGTACTAATTCATTAAACCTACTACTTACCTCTACCTAGGTACTTGACTTAACTACTACTTAAGAACGAGTACTGAATCATTTCCTTGACATACTAACCTTAACCTCTTAAAACAACCACAACACACATCACACAAACCCATCACCGCCAAAGCCCACTCACCATCACCCGCCAAACCCAACCCAACTGACACTAACATCCTCCAACCCATCCATCCACATAACACAGTCAGTACAACCACGCATCACAATCACACGCCCTAAGTCCCCCTGCAACCTCGCTAAAGTGAGACAAGAAAAGATCACCACTTGTCTCACAGCACACAAAGTACCACTGTCACCACCACCAAGGTCACTCACTACCAATATGTCCTCAAACCACATTTCACTCCTCCCTCCTGTCCTGTCCAACTTCTTCGGGGCTGAAACTTTCGTCGAAATTGAATGAGAATGTGTTCTGTGGAGTTGTGAATAAGAACTGGTATTTTTGGTGAAAGGATACAAAGTTCAGTTCACGTGGACAACTTTAATCGCAAAGTCACGAAGTATCAAAGTACTGAGGCTCACCACCAACAAACCAAACCAACCGTCTAAATCCTGGATTTGATTCAAGCCAAGCTCTTTGATTCTCCACAGAGTTTCCACATTGAAGATGCCTGGGAAAAACCCAGAGACGGAGACGGAGGGAATTACACTTCCACCTGTACCAGTTAGTTCTCTCTCTACTCCCACTCTTCCTCTCTCCACTCCCCATTCTCTCTCTTTACCACCAAACCACCAAAACAACACCTCCCTCTATACCCATCGCTTCTCCATACGCTTTATCTCTTTACTACCAAATCACCTTCTCTCCACCACATCCCATCTATACCCATTTCCCTCCTCCCTCCCCACCCCCAAACTTCCCTCCCTTCTTCACTCCTCCTCCTCATCACCAAGTTACCCAAACATACTACGAAACCACACCTCCTTCCCCCCCCC